TTCACTGACCTCGAATGTATTTAATGTTTCTGTTTGTGGTTGAAAGCGTGAAGGGGTTTTATTTCCGGCTGATGATTTGTACATTGTGATATTGCACAGAGTTCTAACAGAAATAAAGGCGGAGCTTTTCCTGCTGACCTCAGAGTGGACTGGTCTCATCAGGGCTCACAGCTGGAGCTCGTAGAGCAGCTCTCAGCCCGGTTCTGCACCGAACCGGTTCTGGACGCCTCGGAGGAGTCAGGAAATTGTGTCGACAGGTCAGTCTGAGAACCTTCAGCCTTTTCCCAAAACCGAGCTTTTAAAAAGACTTAATCACTCCAACACTGACGGGTTCTGATTGAGTTCAGCTGTTTGGGTCTTTAGTCAAATACCAAACAGGTCCTGTTTGGATAACTGACCGTTTTTTTCCAAACATCATCAGAGACTAATGGATGCGGCTGTTTTGTAAACGTTTAACCCTGCAGGCTATGACTGGGTGCAGAGGAGGTTGATCACCTGTTTTTTAACGAGTTATTGTGCAGAACTGTGTGTGAAATGGAGGGAAACATAACATAACAAGATATTCTATTTTCGGTCGTAAGAGCACCTTCTTTTTTTTTTTTAGCTCATCACAGAAAACGGATTAATTCAGGATCTATTCTAATTTGAGTTTAGTTTGTTTTTATTTTTTTGTGATGATAATAGTTCAGCTGCTTTTTGGCTCCCGGCAGGTTAAAGTAAAAAAATCAGGGTTTTGTACATTTAAAGTAATTTTTGCCTCTTTATTTAACATTCAAACATAGAAGTGAACTACCAATAATGCTGTAAAAGTGTCTCTGAAGTGTAACATTTTTTGTTTTTTTAGCACTTTTTAATCACCAAGAGTGATTCCAGACATAAACTGGCTCTTTAACAGCGTTGAAGTGTAAATCTGAAGTTTTTTTTAGTTAAAACCGGGTGAAAGTTCGGGTTTAACCTCTGGAAACACAGCGGTGAGTCATGTTATGGTTCTGACTCTTGGTTTTTACTCCAAACAAGCATCTGTAAGCATAAAACTCCTCATCCTTCAAGGTGGATTTCTGAGGGAGGATGGTGGCCATGAGGGCTGAGGACTTCCTGCTTCAGGGCGAACCCTGTGAGGATTTGGCTGAAAGCGGACGTTGGCTGATGATTCATGAGGGTGGGGGGG